AACGAGACTGTTCCCGCGTATGCCAACGAAACGAACCCCGGCGAGCTCGATGTCAACACCTTCAACCTGACCAAGTTCTCCAGCCTCGGCGGCAAGATCATCATGTATCACGGCCTTTCCGATGCTGATGTCCCCGCCAAGGCATCGCAGATCTACTACGACAAGGTGGTTGCGCAGTCCGGCGGCGATGTCGAGGCTGTTCGCGCTTGGTTCCGTCTCTTCTTCCTCCCAGGACTGGGGCATAAGACCACGACCGTCGACGCGCCTTGGTACATCGCCGGACCGGGACAGGCAGAACAGCTTCTCGGCGGTGGCAACTACTCGGTGCCGGGCTACTCCGATGCAACACACGATGCCCTTCTTGCGCTCCAGCAGTGGGTTGACGGTGGTGCCGCCCCGGACTCGCTCATCGCGACAACGTGGAAGAACGCAACTGACCCGACCACTGAGGTCCTAAGGCAGAGGCCAATTTGCCCTTACCCATCAACACAAAAGTTCACCAGTGGGGGTGATCAGTCGAAGGCTGAGAGTTTCACGTGCTCAACTTAGAGGAGAAGGGGACTAATGGCATTGAGTTGAGAAGCATGGGCAAAAAGACAGCACGGCGAGTGTCGCCAGCTGGGGGCGGCGTAATGAGCTACAAAACTGCATAATAGCAATAATGTTTAATGTGATTTCAAGACTTCAATTTGTGCATCAGCCTGCTATATGGATAGCACCTTGCATCACCGCCACGTGACCCCGCGCCAGTTTGCTGACAATGCAACCAGACAGATCCGACGCGTCGCCACTTCGCAAGCATCAAAGCCATGGCAAAGGAGGGGCACCGTCAACTCTCACCCCTGTGACACGAAACTTTCACCAGCAGCACCCTCCTCCAGCAACACGCACGACACTGACTAAGGAGACATGCCTTTCTCGGTAGTTGCTCCGGCATATCTTCTGGCTTCCCTTTCAACGCTGCCCATCAGTTTACGATGACCGCATCTACGACGTCCCCGCCGTCCCTTGACGAGGTGCCAGAGGACGTCCATGGAATTTCAGAGCATGGAACCCTGAAATACTCCCTCTTGGGCCCATCTCTTACAAAAGCTGGACAGGATGCCGTCGATCAGTCCAAGGTGTGTCTCCAGAAAACACTTCAGCGGAGCGAAGAAGTCCCTAACAGTGGCCTACCAGGTATCCGAGATTATCTACAACGCCTCGAAAGGATCCAAATTCTTCAATCGGGAAGAAGAACGCGACAAGACCTTGACAAAGAAGATTGAACAGATCCTCGAAAAGAAACGGCATCTCGAAAAGCAAGATCTCAGTCGAGAGCTCCGCCTCGCTGATCAGCTCATCACACAGTTGGAGATGTCCCGAGACATTACGCAATACATCGTGCACGTCGATTGCGATGCGTTCTATGCTGCCGTCGAACTACTAGACCGGCCTGAACTCAAAGACATTCCCTTTGCTGTTGGCAGCGGTGTTCTAACAACGTGTAATTACGTTGCGCGAAAGTACGGGTGTCGGAGTGGTATGGCTGGGTTCGTCGCCAAGAAGCTATGCCCAGAACTGGTTCTGCTCAAGCTCAACTTCGAGAAGTACACGGCGAAGGCACACGAGGTCCGAGAGATTCTAGTCGAATACGACCCTAGATTTGAGAGTGCAAGCATTGACGAGGCGTACTTAAATATTACGGAATACTGCACGAATAATGGGATTGGGCCGGCCGAAGCTGTGGAGCAGATGCGACGTGAGGTCCACGAGAGAACCAAGATCACAGTATCAGCAGGCATCGCAGCAAATGCGAAGCTTGCAAAAATCTGTTCGAACATGAACAAGCCGAACGGCCAGTTTGTTCTGCCAAATGACCGAGGCGAGATCTTGCGTTTCATGGCAAAGCTTCCACCCAGAAAAGTCAATGGCGTCGGTCGTGTGCTGGAGCGACAGTTGGCCGAAATTGGTATCAAGACTTGCGCGGACATCTACCGTTATCGCCAATTCCTCCGACCGCTCTTTGGCGACAAGGCGTACGAATTCCTGATCAATGTTTATCTCGGCCTAGGGCGCACCAAGATCCAGCCGGCAGAGGAGTATGAGAGGAAAAGTGTCGGCACCGAGAGCACTTTCAAGGATATTTCTGATCCCCAGCAATTCAGAGAAAAACTGAAGTGGACTGCGGAGGAGTTGGAAAAGGACATGAAGAGGGTAGAAGTCAAGGGTCGCACACTGGTCCTCAAGGTGAAGCTTCACACGTACGAGGTCTTTACACGACAAATCGTGTTACCAAGAGCCATATGCCTGGCTGACGACCTTTATCGTTTCTCCGTCCCCATCTTGGCGAAGTTGGAGGAAGAGATGCCGGGCATGATGCTGCGCCTAATGGGTCTACGATGCACACACCTTGTCAGCACGAAGAAGCCAGATACGATGGCATTCTTTGGTTTCAGATCACGGAGACCTGATACCGCAGTATCACCCGAGAAGGCTCTCAAGTCTATGCACTCTGGAGCCAGCGGTGAACTTGACGATGACGGCTGGGAGCAGTGGCCCGAAGAAGAACTTCTGGGGCTTGACAATCGTGAAGATTGCCAAGCAGTTGATATCGAGAGCAATGGCACGAACATCGACGGCGAACCAAGCCCAGCTAGAAGACACGGCAAGGAGATTTTGCCGAATCCTGTGCCGGAATACGCACCCGTCAATGATGAGATGTGGGATTGTCCAATCTGCAATCGCCCACAAGCGCCGTATGAACGGCAGTTCAACGAGCACATCGACCTCTGCCTCTCAAGGCAGACCATTCGCGAAGCCGTGCACGAGGACATGCCCCCTGCGCCGCCCTCGAGGTCGACAACGCCGGACGCAAAGAAGGTCAAGGTCGGTGGAGAAAAGAAACGCGGCAGGCCACCCGCGAGACCGCCAAGTGACGACCCACGGCAGAAGAAGCTTTGTTTTGGATGAGCCGTAATGACAACCCGAACTAGATGATACCCGTAATATTACATGATCTCAATAGCTCTGCCGGGCGTGGAGAAGCCGCTCTCGTCACCCCACCCCGCCTTTGTCTCCCACGAGTCAAATCTGCTACCCCGGACGGCGACTCTTTTTTGTTCCCCCCTTCTGGGCAATTCTGTTATTTACACTATCTGGCACAATGACAGACGGGCATCCTTGAACACGACAACTGCAGAAAAGTTCAGAGTCCAGGTGGCAAAAGCCGGCCGGCGAACATTATGTTCCGGGGACCTGCAGGTCCATGGCCGCGCTAGCTAGCGCGCGATGAGGACGCCACGGCACCTTTAGCCTCCAACGCTTGGAGCCTTCGTGATCCAATGAAGCAAGGGACCAAGAAAGAGGTCGGATGAAACTTTCCAATCCATGCGTTGGATTCCTCACGGATCGACAGGAGTGATCTCGCTTTCCAGATAGATCCATTGTCTTTTTTGGACGCCTCTTCGCGGATAAGCATTCAAGATCCGGGATACTGACTTCTGTGCGCCCATCGTGGACCAAAACTCTTTCTTTGAACGCGTGAGGCTTACGTTGGTCCGAAGGCGTGCCGTTGCAATTTATCCAACCGGTCCGGAAAACGGTGCAACACCGCGCGCCCTCACGATGGCTCACTTGCAGGATTCTCCTCTCAACGGGGGCAATCATGGTGCCAACGTTGCAAGTGACTGAGAAGTGACGCTCAACAAAAAGCAACATCACATTGAAACTTTGGACCGGCTGTTGTAAGGGAGAGTGATCCAGAGCCACGTGTGGAGTTTCGTGGAAAGGATTCAGAGCAGCCACTTGTATCAGAATAGATCGATGCCTCATACCTCCCTTCTCTTAGATTGGTGGGCCAGTGGCCCTCACCTGCACGGTATCAGAAATCAGAAAACAGAAGCTTCTACGTTTGGCTGAGAGTCTCATCAAGGCTCCCTGCGCTCGTTCCTCGACAGAGTCAGCACACATCGTGAGATTTGGACCATGGGCCAGACTTGAAGCAGCTGGCCAGGGCCCTACCACACCAATTCGTGTCTGCAATCAATGTCTCATTCTTGTTCAGCAGTGACAGCCTCGAAATCAGGAGAACCGTGCGCCAGCGTTATCTCAGATAAAGCAATGTTTCCTCTTGACAGGTCCGATTCAGCGACTCATGAATCCTCGCGCTATTCAAAGCCCTAACGAATCGCTTAGAGATCTGCGATGACGCTTCGTCCTGCGGATCTTACGCTGGTAAGCTGACTGGCTACTGGCTGAATCGCCAGGCGACATGGACCCAAGAGGGCCACGACGACGGCCAAACAGAACGTTACCCATCATGGCTCAGCTCTACGAGAGCCCGGCTCTCAGTTAGCGTCCGGAAGAGAGACGTCCCTTGACACTAGCGCCAGCGACCTGCTTTTGCACGCAAAAGCTCATGCAACCGACGATCCACACTGGAAGCCATCGTCTTGAACCGCGACTATTGTTTGCACCCTCCCACTCCTACCGAGGGCGGCGCCTGTGAGGGGATGCAGCCGCGCTCCCTTGCGTTGCAGTTTCACTCCAACGGCCCCCAGCTCGGGCCATGAAGCCTGACCATTTCCTTTCAGACCAGGAACTGACAGGACTCGGCGTTCAACTCGTCTTCAATTTCTCCCTGCGTTGAAAAGACTTTCGAGATGTGATCGACATCGACGGCCAGCGCTATTGTTGACGTAAACAGGGATCTGCACGACGGTGCGCCGGCCTCACCACCGCGTTTAGCTTACCTTGGAAAAGCACGATGGGTGCGCTCATAGTCTTTTAAAGTGGTTTCTGGCTGGTGAATCACGGGTGAGTGGGAAAGCACTTTCGCATTCCTCGAGAAACCTTGTTTCCCAGCCCCATCTGCATTCCAGCATATAACCAAGTCGATCCTCGGATTTTGAATACGCAGAATATCTAGTTCTATTCCCTACGCTCCTTTTCTGCTCGCCAGACGGCAGCTTCGCACATTACTATTAGATCTTTCGTCAACAACACAGAGATCAGTCATCATGGAGTCAAGTGCAAAGGCCACGCCTACCCCAACTGCCGCAGCAGCGGCGCCTGCGTTCAACACTGCGCCAGTTGCGGTCTTCTGGCTTGCTTGGGGTGGGCTTTGGACAGTGCTGTTGGTATGCGGTATGGCATTTCTCTTTGTCAACCGCAAAATGCCTTTTCTGAGGATCCGCGGCCTGGCTTTGTCGTTTGGCGCTGTCACTATGCTCCACCTTTACTGGCTTTCGGTGCAGATCGGCCTTGCCATCGGCCAGTTCGTCCCCGATGGCGCCGAGTTTTGGGTGATGGGCCTCTACCTCCCCTTCGGCATTGCTCTTTTCCACGCTTCCAACAGCCGGTTCCTCCACATCGCCAAGGCGCAGCGGAAATATGCAGATAAGCCACTCACACAATCCAACTCTCAGTTGGACGCCAGCAACGGGCCGGACAAGACCCTGACGGGGAAGTTCCGGAAGCTCGATTACACCACCAAAATGCTGGCCGTCGTATGCACGGGCATGCTTGTCCAAGTGAGTTGATGCGGGCTCAGATGGCGGTGCATGTTTGACAGTTGACACATGGCTGACGTGCTTCACCATCAGCTTCTTCTAACAGTGGTCATGTATCTCGTCTCGCGCAAATATCACCCGTCGTTTGGTATCCCCGGCACTGAAGTGACGGGAACTCCCGCAGAGCAAAAGGTCGAGATGGGTAGAGGCTGGGAATGGTGGCCTTCTGTATTCTGGCAGTTCCTCTGGGCTTGGCTGGTTGCACCCGTGATTCTCTGGAAATCACGTGGAATCCAGGATACACAAGGGTGGCGTCTGCAGACCATTGCATGCTCTATCGCAAGGTGAGTTGAAATCCAGGTTAGCGCTTTGCCGCTTCGCCGTGACAAATCCCCCGAGCCAACACTAATGAGTTCAGCCTTCACGCTACCCCTATGTGGCTTGTCGCCTTGTACGTCCCAGCCATGGCGCCCGTCAATGCCTACTTTATCCCCCCGCAGTGGTAAGTTATATGAAGCACGCATGGACACTTTCTTCTTCTCGAGCTTGACGTTGACTCGCTGCTAGGATCTGCCTCTCCATCACCTTCATTGAAATTTTTGCCATCTTTATTCCCTGCTGGCAAGTCGTCAAACACAAGACTCTCAGACAGGAGACACTCGAGTCCATCGCTGTCTGGGAAGCCAAGAATAAGGCTCGCACCGGGAGAGATTCTGTTATCACTGGATCAACCAAGGTTGGCAGCCAAGCTTCTGTCAGTTGGAAATCGCTTGCACAGCTCGAGAAAGACACCAGTCAAGCGGAAAGTGTCTACACAATGGGCGCCCTCGAGTACGTCTTGGACAAGAACCCCGAGCCCCTACGCAAGTTCTCTGCCCTCAGAGACTTCTCCGGCGAGAACATCGCCTTCCTGTCAGCCGTCGCCGAATGGAAGTCATCAATCCCTCAGAGCCCCGGATCATCACATCGATCTATCGAGATCTCACGGGAACGATTCAACCGTGCCCTGCGCATCTACACCGAGTTCATCAGCCCTTACCACGCCGAATTCCAGATCAACATCGCATCGCAGGACTTGAAGCGGTTACAAGGCGTCTTCGAAGGCGCAGCTAGGATACTATACGGCGACCGAACGGAACGCTTTAGCGACCCTGTGGTGCCATTCGAGGATAACAGCTGGGGTGGACCTGAGTCAACAGCAGGTGGCTCGGAGATGAGCTGTGTATCACGAGATGGCAGCGGTGACCCTATTGCGGACCGAGTGCAGTACTGGGGCGAGATCCCCGAGGCTTTCAACGCTGCTGTCTTTGACGACGCGGAGTCGAGCATCAAGTACCTTGTCCTAACCAACACTTGGCCCAAGTTTGTCAAGGAGAGGCGGTATTCACTAGACTCCGAGGACTCTGGGGAGACGGTTGAGACATTCCAATCATCGTCAACATTGTCGTCACGGGTCAAGAAGTATTTTCGCACCATGAAGGTCGTGGTATGACCTTGAAAGACATGAGGCAGGGCGCGGCATTGGTTGTTCTCTCTTTCCTTTTTCCCCTGCGATGATATCCCCAGTCTACCTGAGTTTACTATACCAATTTGTAATTTACTATTACCACAAAAGCCAACATCAATGCCAAAGTCACTGCCATGCACCATATTCTCCCATGACATGATGAATGCAGCGTGTTGTAGAATCTGAGACAAAATCGAGATCCATCCACGTGTGCTCGCAATCTCCGCAATCTTACAGTTTTGTGAGTCCAATCAATCAAGCCAAAATACGTGAATCACACCTTCAGTGCCTTTGTCCTCTTCCATGCGGTGGCCTACTCGAGCACAGCCATGTGGCGAACGTTTAGATCCCGGATCGCCATGCCATGAGCCGGGGCACGAACAAAGGCGAAGCGGGCGTTGGAGGCAGTCGGCTTCGGCATTTCGCAGACACGAGGACGGAATCAGTGATGGTCCCGTCGCTGCGGAAGATGCCGCTGTGGATGGAGGCCGAGGAATCGTGGTGGGAAGGTCCGAGCTATCAAGATCGGAGGCGCCAAGGTTAACGGATTGCAGGAGACGATTGAGTCTTGGTGTCTATCGGTATCGCCTTTCCCGTGCGTATGTTCGCTAAGCAGACTAAGTAGCTTGGAGACTTTAGACTCGGATCAAGGTTGGCATCGTTGCATAAGGTATGTCTCACGTCAAGATACCAAAGATGTGGACTTTTCCCTTCGACGCTCCCACGCTGCCTACATGTAAGTTATGGTCCTTCGTCCATAACGGCATCTTGAGAGTTGCGCCATTGGAAACTTGCTCTTTCGTGCGTAACGTCATGCCTGTAATTCCGCTTCCGGCTGTTCGGAATTTGTGCGACTGTAACACCAACTCTAAAAGTCTCGGCCTAGCCGCGTGGAGTTGTAACCATGATTCAAGGAATCTGAGATTTGATTCAAGCTTTGGTGACGCTCCCGGATTCAAGAGCATAGAGGCTCTTCAATTTCTGGCTTCCTTCAAACGGATGGGGAGTATGTCTGGATCGGGTTGGCACGTGTTGCTGACGGTCCGCCCGGTGGCTACCAAGTATCATCCACGGCCCCGAAGCGGCTGGGGGTGTGCTCAATTTGCACCATAGCCGCTCGGGGTGATTGCATATACCACTTCATTCTTTATGTTTAGGATTCTAGGATTTCTGGAAGAATGCATGTAACTCTGTAGATGATCGGGTGCCACAGGGTTTGGAGCGATTATAGAAACGGGTCCGGCTTGTAAGGCAAGTAACTCTCTTTTTCTCCGGAGATGAATTGATAGGCTGTTAAGTAGAAACAGCTGCGTAACCTAACCGTAGTTGCGCTGATCAACCATATATCGCTTCATGTTGATTCTCAAAGTGTACTTTATGAGTCTTTGAGTACCTTAAATGAAGTTTAGTCGTTTGCTATCCAATAACCTCAGAGTGGTAGGACAAGCTCTTAGTAAACATCTTCAGCGCACCACTACATCAAAGACGCACGCGACGATCTAGGGTCTTCATACTCCGTACAGATCGTCCAATCGTTAGAAAGATGAATAATATGACAAGGACGAAACCCCCAAAAGGGAATCTCGCTTGACACTCGAAACGTCTCGCTCGTGCCCCTCCCGGCCGTCGTCGCCAGCACCGGGGGCCGGTGAGGCCATGAGTGGATACCCCGCCAGCGCCGAGACCGAATCGGGTGCCGCGGCTACCGCTGTGCCGCTATTCTGCAGCGTTAGTGCTCACTCCCGTCCCCGTTCCTCCGCAGGGGAGGCAGCGCCAAGAGCATCAACTTTCATCCGAAGCTTACCTACCTCCAGGGCAGACTCCGCGCGGCCTTATGCACATCAACTTTGGAGATACAAAACACTCGCGATGCGACGCTGTTGAAGCAGTCCGTTGTGCCGCTTGAGTCGTTATCTCATTCTCAGTACCTCATTCGCACAGCTCATACCAGATTGCCTATCGCAGAAGCATCTCGATAACCAACGCCATGGCGGGACTCGCCGTATATGCGGCCATCGTTGCTGCTATCGCCATCTTCGTTCGCCTCTTCTACCTTCGACTCTTACCCAGGCCAATCCCAGGGGGGCCGCCATTCAACCTCGATTCTGCTAAACGAATCCTGGGAGATGCACCGTACTTCATCGAACTCGAGAATGCGGGCGAATACTGGCTCAAGTTCTTCACACAGCTGCTCACTAAGCACAACACCCCGATTGCCCAATTTTTCCCTGGACCTTTCGACAGGACCCATGTCGTCATTGCTGATTATCGCGAGGCTCGCGACTTGATGTCGAAGCGGGGTAAGGATCTCGGTCGCGGTGTTACCAACGATATAACGTGGAATAGCGTGATCCCGGGTCACTTCATCTCCATGGAAGATTCGCATCCTTCTTTCAAGGACACCAAATTCCTGACCAAAGATCTCATGACACCGAGCTTCTTGCATGGGGTACGACAAGTCTCGTAACTAGACAACTTGAAGTTGCGGGGTGTGATGTTGACAGAATGCAGGTGTCGGCGCCAGCTTCGCATAAGATGGTTCACAAATTCATAGAGCTGTGGAAAACCAAAGCCGCCGTCGCTAATGGCCGGCCGTTTGAGGCCGACGCCGATCTCGAGGCTTTTACCTACGACATCATGAACGCTGCGGCTTTTGGCACCTCTGTGGAAGATAGCTATACCAATGAGAGACTCGTCTTCCTTCCCTCGCCAAACGGATCCGAATCGCCCAAGTCAGATGCCTCACAAGTTGCAGAGTTCCCGAAGCTCCGTCCGCCACACCTTTTATTCGCCTTGAACACTCTCAACGAAAGAATTAACGGAGCCTTCCGCGCACTCATCCCCAAGCTCTTCTTCCTCTACGACAATAATCGACCGACTATCCGCCGGGCATTTGGCTTGAAGAAAAGCATTCTTCAGTCCCATATTGACCGCTCCGTCGAGAAGTTGTCCCGCAGTGATAGCTCAAAGGAGGAGTTCGCTTCGGCAGTTGACTACATCGTCTCGCGCGAGATTTCAGCAGCAAACGCCGCAGGTCGTGAGCCGGTCTTTAACTCGGCAAGGATACACGATATGATCTGGGGTTATCTCGTCGGCGGGCAGGATTCTACGCACAGCACGCTCTGCTTCACGGTCAAATATCTGGGTGTTCACCAAGAAATTCAGTCTAAGCTGCGAGAAGCGCTGCGGCTGGCATACCCAGATGCAGTTTCAGAGAAGCGAGAGCCTACGGTTGACGAGATCACCAAGACTCACGTCCATTACCTCGACGCATTCATCGAAGAGACTTTGCGTCTGAGCAGTCCCGCCGGAGCCATCATGAAGGAGACGCTTGTCGACATGGACATGTTTGGGTACCGCATACCCAAGGGAACGCCTCTCGTCTTTCTCTTGGCGGGGCCAACGGTCTCAGAAGCCGGTGCCAAAGTCGACGAGGCGAAGCGTAGCGAAACATCACAAAAGGTCGCCAACGAGGGTGTCGGAGATTGGGCCCTGACCGAATACCCTCCCGAAGAACTTCACCCAGAACGCTGGTTGCAGCCTGACGAGAAGGGCGAAGTCGTGTTCAACAATAGAGCTGGCCCGTTTATGAGTTTTAGTTACGGTCCACGAGGATGCTGGGGCAAGAGACTGGCGTATATGGAGTTGAAGCTGATCATTACGCTGTTGGTTTGGAACCTGGACTTTATGGGGTTGCCTGCTGAGTTGGAGGATGATGCACTTCTTGAGGGGATATTCACGAAGCCGAAGTCGTGTCTCGTGAAGCTGAGGAGTTGAGCACTGGGTGGCAGGGGCGAGCTCACGATCCGTCACCATAGGAAAGCTCTGCTCAGCCAGAGGACCAAATTCCATTGGGCCTAACACCTGTGGCTCTCTGCTCGTTGGAGGAAAGGGGCGTATCATCTGACTTCGTTTGTGCTCTCAGCATCCCGGCACATGAAGGTTATGTGATTTAATTACCAAGAAAGAGGCTAAAGAGTCCATTTACGTTGTCTTTAGAACCATGTATTACATGCAATCGAAATGCATCCATTCCTGCGCCCAGCCCATTGTATGCCCCTGATATCACAATCTATTTGATCCATTTCCCGCATGGTATGCATGCTAGTTCGATTTGCGCCAACAGTTAAATCGGAAGTTCTCCATCTTCGCATTCTATACAAATCTACCTTAACTCTACTCATACTCCCCATGAGGTCTTGAAATCGCCGGGCCTGCGTATTCTGGGAATTGACACCGTAGAGTGATGCAGTAATCCAATTCTCCCAGCGGCATGTTCCGAATAAGCTCCATATTTTCTGGGCTCAATTTTACGAATTCTGATCCGCTGAAGTCGATTTGCTGAGCTTGTAACGTTGGATTGCTACTTTGGTCGGTGAAGTGCTCTTCGGACACGATGAAAGACTCAGGACATTCTTTATCTTTGGGTTCGCTCACGAAGGCTATGGCTCCTCGTATACTCCTTGCAATAAGAGCCAAATTTTCTTCGCTGATCTCCACTAATAGCGGATAGTTGTCAGTTATTAGTGAAGGGGGCACGGGGGGCTACATAATTCGATATGAAGGTTAATTTGCGGCTTGAACTTACCCTGCAACCCGTAACCGGGACGGGCATGTCCATACTGTGATCTCCATAACTTCGAGAGGCAGTCGATTCGGTGGTTCCTGTGTTGTTCCTTTTCCCGAGGACGCTTGATTTTGAGCATTGCGAAAATATCGATAAATCGATACCAGTCCTCGGTCGAAAGTCGTTCGAGAGGATTCTCTTCCAAAGATGTTGTTGTGCTTTTCGATTGATCACAAGGCTTCATTCCCCTGCGTTTCGGTTGGGGTTGTTGATTGACGACGGCTTCTTCCTGGCGTTGATCATCGATGGCCTCAATGCGGCGTTGATCCTCAATGTGGACGTGGAACCGCCAAGTGTGTTGTCTGTTGACCTCTGTTAATACACATACGATTAAACACCATAAGATGATGAGAAGAGCTCTACACACTTCAAATCGCAAGCGCGATGAAATCCGGCGCGACACGCTGTCGCTGCTGTCGCACCGTACATCAAAAACACTATACAAATCAAGAAATTGGCATCCCCGGCGTCTCGCGTCACATCGGAGTTGGAGACAGCGGTCGGGGGAGTTGTCAGAGTCTGTTGTCCGGCGCTAATCGAAACCCTCTGCGCCGTGGACGGCGCTGTGGAGGCACTGGGGCCGGCGGCGTGACTGGCGATACCGCCGGTGGTGGGAGACTCTTCGATTTCCCTGCGTCCAGAATGCGGGAAATGAGTCGGAGACTGGCCTGGAGCGAGATCATTTGTTTGTTCCAGCGCCTCCCGAAGGCGGGTTTGTCGATCGTCCCACTCTTCGAAAGGGAAGAAAAAGTCGTCTCCGAAGGCAGTCAACTGCGATGGTCCGTCCCACCCTTCCAAAGGATCGAAGAAGTCGTCTCCGCGGAGAGTGAACTGCGAAAAGTAGGATTAGCATCGGTGCTTTATAGAGTGGCGGCCATCCTACGGATACTCTACCCTCAAAGGATGGAGAAACCTTGCATTGGGAACGTCCCGACCCCATGGGATGGGGCCGTGATGAGCGGGGAGTGCAGCAAGCTTCAGCAACGGTGTGGGGAAACATGAGATGACGGGCAGGGAAAGCTTGTGTTGCGAGCGGCGCAGATGCACGGGGGGAACATGAACATGAATGCATCTGAAAGGCATCCGACAAACTCACCGGGTCTCTGCTGCCTTGCCCATTGTCTTCGGCAGACATGTTGGGAGCTCAGGGTCAACTTTGCGAGGTTCGTGATGTGGTTCGCCAGGAGGTTTCGATCTTTGGGTATATAATGGAAGGATGAATTCGGTTTCGACTTTGAATGGGGGCGCGGGATGAGAGAGATCTTAGGCTGAGTTGCCAGCGTCCCTCCAGCACAACGGTGCTTTGGAGGTGGTGCGGGGGGACGTATCAGCCCGTTGGGTGGTGGCTTGACGTTCCTTGGCACTACTTTTTTCTCCACGAAGTTTTGATCACTAAGAATCCAGTCGAGGTATCTCCACGAGCTTTCACCTGCGTAAGCTGCTCTGCTCCAGAGCTAAGTACTCCGTACCTGGGCAGCGACTGTACCGGAGCGTGTTCTGTACCTTGCATAAGGTAACGTATGGCACCCTTGAGCCGCTGTCACCATTGTTCGTGGACAAATTTTTGGTTGGGGCTAGCTAAGGCGACCTTATCCCATTGTTCGTGGAGAAATCCAATGGAGGCCAATTAATTAGTGATGTTGCCCGACGTCATTTGTCAAGCTCCATGATGCGGTTTCTGCACCGCCGTTCTGCAACCACAACAAGCACAAGAACTTGAAGACACCGTGATCCACCTCGAATTCGGAGTTGTTCTCTACTACATCTGGTCGAGCTTCCACTATGAAGACAATGAGCACGTACTTGTGGCTTGATGAGGATCAGAGCCTCCGACATAGGGTATCTAAGGTACGGCACCAAAGTCCCGGCGGCGTCCGGCTTTCTAGCGTGCGCTACTCCGATGCAAGCCGGTGCAAAGCCGATTGAGACGACTCACTCGTCAATTCAACAACGCGCACTGGCGCACGAGTTATCAACAGCACACCGGGGACTCACCGATCCCGGATCTTAGCTTTCGTTCATCATTTAATACTGCCAAGAGGCTCAACACCGAAATTCCCAAGTACACGGGATCATCGCCGGCAACATCCACCAGTATGAGGTCCTCCAACGTGAGTCTGGTTAGCGCTCGCCGTGGACAAACCAGCGGTCTAAGAACACTCATCGGCCTGGCTCGAAACACCACTTGTGCTGGACTTGATGCGCGCATTCGCGCTCTCGCAGTATTTCTACACCATTTGACCCCATCGTGACGTATGTCATAGTTACAAATCATGTCATTCCCGGCATCGGTGTCATGTGGTCAATGATTTCCTGCCCAGAATCATGGACTTGGGCGTGCCGTCCAGACTCGTTGTCCTCGACTCTGTAGATATGTCCACGAAACGGCCACCGTGGAATTTTCCACACATTTACGTAGATCTCGTAATGATATCCTCGGTAAGTATGCCCCTGATACCGGTTGACGCATTTTTATAAAGTCTCAGGAGCCCCCCTCGAGGGCTTGGATGGAACAAACCAACTACACACCAGATCCCACACCGAATACAATACACTTTGTTCGTTAAGAACCACCAAATATTCAAAAACATGGCAAGCAAATCCGGCCTCCTCCTCAACAAACTCTCTGTATCTAAACGCCCTGGTGCCACCATCTTGGCAGCGGCCAGCTACGAAGATGAGCAAGGGCTCGTGGAAGCTATCAAGGGCACACTTGAGGCGAACACCAATAAAACCAAACACTTCCTCAAGACGAAGGTACTTTGCCTCAAGCCGACTGTGTCTATCGCCACACTTCGCCCCGTAAGTTCATGCTTCTTCCCAGCGGAGTCCACTATCTTCATAGTTGCTAACAACTAGCAGATCGAAGTTCCCGACCTCACGGCACTTCCTCCCTGGAAGGCTTTGATCCGGCACGTCGCTCTGGACGAAGCCTTTACTGAGGCAGTAAACAAGCCAGAGTCGATGGATCAGGGGTTCTACACACACATGTTTGCTCTCTACGACGATGTCTTTGTGGACATCGACCAGCGGGAGGATCGCATCGTTCTACCCCGGCACGCGCTGGTCGTTGAATACAAGATGTCCCCCAGAGCCAAGAAGGTCATTGGGGGGCTGGCTACGGTGATGGGAGGCTTGATTGTCATTGGAGTCAGAGCTGGGGAGGGATCAACCAACTGAGGGTCGTTCGAAGATTGCAGGGTTTACCATCAAGGACAAGACATGTTCCGGCTCGCCTCCCCCCCCTTTTCCTTATTATCTTTTCTCTCCTTTTCAATGAACAGCACCAGTAACACCAGAGCGCCATACCCTACTTTTCTTGTTTTACTTCATTGCAATCACATTACACCTAGTCTAGAATTAAATAGTGGATACAAACCAGTTCCTCGAAACACTTCAATCGCTTTCCTCCAATTGCCAAGCAAGAGCAGTCATCTTCGCCCGAGGCACATATTCTATCAGACGATTCTTGCCGTCTTGAACAATCAATCTGCAGGTCTTATGGATATCATCAATGCAATCACTGGCTCGAGACACGCTCACAATCTGAGCTCCTTCCCATAAGCCTGCTTCATCCGCAGTTGAGCCCGGAATAAGCCCCGTGACAACGCGAGAGTTCGTGCTTCGTTTATCAAAACCGAATTCCATGATAGGAAGCTGAGCTGCTTTCAGTGTATTCGACGGTTCGCCCAAGAAAAGGCCATCAAAGTTCATGACAGCCCTTCCGCGGAGCATGCCTTGGTAATGCTCCTCGATTGGGAAGTTGTCGCCCATAAGAGCCGTCTGTAAGGCGGCAAGCCAGTCTCAGCCGCCCACAGCATCCCCCTGCTTATGTCTTCTCGTCAAGTCGAGAATGATGGAGTCGAGGGGCCCTGCCGTGGCAAAGTCGTACGAGCGGGTGTGTCGTCGTAGGTAGAGATCCATGAAAAGGAGGTACGCGAAGCCGCGCTTGTACGAAATCCACTCTGCGTACCAGTCATTAAACATGGCCGCGGCCGCATCGCGTATGTCCATGTTGATGCGAGGGCTGGTGAAGTAGCCTTGCAGATGATCGTTGATGGTGCTGATCAAGAAGTCTTTCCCGCGGAAGCCGAAGCGGAAGGGCAGGTATGAGGAATACAACTCCGCAAGTCCTGCATTATGTCAATTTCCAGATGCAAGATGATGAGTGAGTTCAATGTGAAAGATAAGTACCTTCTTCAAACCAGTCATTTTCATTTGCCTCGCCTGAGTCAATCGTGGCAAAGCTGTGCACCATTTCATGCGTAAACAATTGGATAAGGCGGTCGTCTTCGACGTCGCTACTCCTGTCATCGTATTCCAGCATGTAACTTGCATTGAAGCCAGTACCCCCAAAGCCGACGATAGATTTCCGCATAAACATGCGATACGTTCCACCAGACGACCCAAAGAACTCCGCCATCTTCGGGAACAGGGCGGTGTTGTACCCCTTCAATCGATCTAGGTTCGGCGGTAGGTCACCGAACCAGTAACACGCAGAAGACGACGCCCCCGAAGAGCTCTGAATGGGACCGACCATGAACATGGTATTTCGTACGACTTCGGAGCGATCGACGCGGACCATGGGCTTGGTACCCTCCCCGTAGCTCCACACGCATCGCGTAGATGCCGGCGCGTCGGCCGGGAGGTTCCACTTGACTAGGACGGTGAAGAGCTGATCATTGATGAGCTGCGGCAGAAACCACATGCCGGCGCCGTGCAGACCGCCCTGATCGCGTCGGAGGTCGATGCGGGCGCCGAGCGGTGTCTTCACATCTACTTTGCGCGGGAAGACATTGAAGCGGAGAAGAACGTCGCCCCGGGGTTCTCTGGTGAAGGACCAGTGCTGTTTCTTATCCCGGCCCTCTGAAGGGAGGTCGTGGAACTCAAGCTCTAGGGGGCCGCCATCGTCTGTCACGTTGATGTCTTTTTCTTGATACGGATGGCCGGGAACGTTGCCGTAGAAGGTGTTGAAGACAAACACGGGTTCGTAGGCCTTTGTGACTGGCAACTGCAGCCGGAGGAGCACCGATAGGCTGCTTGCACCGTCGGCATCGAAGTGCGGCGTGAGCTCAAGGGAGTACAAGGGGTGAGGCGGGAGTTGCATCGCGGCTCAGGAAGGTGAGTAAATGGATCAATGAGCTGAATGTTGACGTCGATGTAAGCTTTAGAGCTTGCGACAACGTTATATGCGCCAAGACTCTTGTCGGGCGAGTCAACGGTTGCGTGTTTCTTCGTAATTGAGTTCATCCTTAAACATTGACGTTGACGCGGCGCAACTCAAATAAGAAGGTGAGGTGTTAGCCTGCGGGGGTTACGGGAAAACGGCAGAAGAAGGCGCGCGGAATCCACGTAGGCTTTGGTTTCACTGAAGAACTCACCTTCACCCAAAATTGCTCCTCTTCCATCACACCAACTCACCCATCAGCATTCGTTGAGACGTGGATGAGTGTATGAGGAAAGCGTTCAGTTGAAAATTCATTCATGGAGACTCACCTGGTAAAGTCGATCTTAGTCTGCAGTCGTATCTCATTCTGGAACGTCCAGCCCTTGAGAACATGAAAGCTCTCCAGAGCCTAGGTCAGTTACTGGATTTCGTCAGCCTGCAGATTCCAGCTCAGGTGTTAGGGCAGCGCACATAGCTGGCAATTTCGATGGGCATCTTGGTTCAGGGCATATCCCAGTCCGCCAATAGCACACATCTCCACCCGCGATGAGAGGTCTACCTTACCTTGAAGCTCAATCAAGCCAGCTCTGACAAATCTTACAGCCAGATGCGATTACGTAGTCTGAGCTTGAGAACCGACTTGAGGATCGTATCTTTACTCACTGGTCCCTTGCACAAGAAAGTCTGACACCCCAAAATGTCTCTCGGCCGCTGCTGTAGCTTGGCTGCGTTCTCATAGCCAAGGTTGAAGGTACATGCATCGAAAGCTGTCTTGTGATTGCCGCGATAACGCAACCACAGGCATCTTATCGAGTATCTCTTAGTCACTTTACGTTGTATTCCTCTCCCCGTCGGCCCGAAGAAATGCATTTTGTGTGGTGGGATGCAGCAGGCTCTATGTCGTCCTCCATTTGAAGTCCTAGGTGCATCGGAGACGAGAAGCCCTGTTGGTCCTCAGGATCACACAGTGGAGTCCCCTGAAGGAGCGGGAAGATCCTCCCCCGATCGGTTGACCTTCCGCAACAAGTCGGAATTCCAGCTTGTTCAGCTATTAAAACCAGGCTGAAGAGCGATAGTTATCTTGCATCGCATCCTTGTGCTGACGTCAGATTTTAGCACTCGATATTCAATATTGAACTGGCTGATAAATATAGAGACTATCCATACTAAGGTGGTCATATCCACCTTGCATCTATCGAAGACTCTGTTTTCCAGCCTGCGAGAATTACTGCCTAACGAGCACTTCATCATCGGCTGTTTGAGCTACAGCCTTCTGCACGCAAACATGTCTAGAGAAAGGATCTTTAGTTCTGTGTGATGAACACCGCAGATCCTTCCAAGTCCATTTGCTCTTTCATTCCCTTTCTTTCCCTTACCGTCATAGAGTTATAGAATATCTCTCGACACCTTCCTACCGACAAGCGGTCTAGGCAGCCGCCTCATGCCTACCCCTCACTTCGACGATGGACATAACGCGACGATCTGTGTCTCCAAAAGACAGAAACCATCCTGAAACTTTTTCAGCTCAGGGTTCGTCCCCAAGTACTGCCGACGCGTGGTCCATCGCTTCCGCCTATGGTCTCTCTAGCGAGATCCATTACAACCCAGGCTACGGCAATAAAGAGAACTTGAATCCGCGATCTCGACTCCACGATGGCTCAGCACCAACTCCGGCAACTTATCCAAAACACCAACGTCACGAAATCTGGGGCCCAGAAAACGATGGATCAGATGTTGCCTATCCACTCATCGATATTCTGCGAGACCATAAGGCCCATGCCGAGCCAACGTCTACTGCCTTCGATGGACGGTCGGACAGCGTAGAGGCGTTGAAAGGAGGCGTACCAGAGCCTTCAGTACGTCAAGTGTTATGGACGCCTCCTTGGCTTCAAAAGACCTCTTTACTCGGATTTGCCTTTGTGTTCACTGCCCTCTGGATTGCCCTAGTGGTTCTGGCCCGGTACGACGTCGCAAACTCAGGATTCATCATCACGGCAACATCAAGCAGGTTTTCCTGGACCTACGGCCCCACCGCTGTTTTCGTGGCCATTACGGGCCTCTGGAGGCAAGTCGACTATCATAGCAAGATGCATCAGCCATGGCAGCAAATGGCTAAAGGTCCAAGCCCAGCATCCAAGAGTCTCCTCCTGGATTACGTCTCCCCAATCCTCTCTACAGGACTGGTCAGAACGTTCCGAAATAGACACTGGATAGCCGCAGCCGCGATGACAGGTTCCGCTGTTCTCAAAATGGCTACTCTGTTGTCCACGACGCTAATGGTACCCGTAGCCATCAAGATGTCGGGGCCACTTCCGATACAAGTGAATTCAGCTTTTGATGGATCGGCTTTCTGGAAGACCACAAATTGGTCTTTGAGTAATAGGACAGACACCATTGTCTTTGGGAATGTTACGTACTCGAGCTATTCGTTTAATAACCTTTCTTCAGCCTCAGCAGTAAAGTATCTGCAGTTGCTCCAAGGGCAGATTTCGGAACCTGTTGGAACGCAAGAGGGGATTGTCTTCCAAGACGCATCCGTCACTGAAACAACAGGAATCAGTGACATCGAGCATGTTTCCGCCGATGTTGACTCTATCGTTCCACACGTGAGCTGCGAAGAACCGGACATCACCGTTTTTGATAAGATGGATGGCAACATCACCGAATTCAGCGGGGCAGTGGAAGTACAGATACCTTCTTGTGGGAACGCAAGGATCCTGCTTAGCATTTGTGCCGATAACAGCGAGAGTTGCCTTGGGACTTTGACGACGTACAATATCTACAGGGCGTACTGCTCGGACACAGGGAGATCCGATGGGCCTCAAGCCGATCTTCGTCTACTCCTAATAGCGAGCAATATCACGCAAAGGAATAAGCCTGGGACCGACTATTATGATTATAACTACACAACATCGATGGCCAATATTACGGCAATATCCTGCAAAGTCGCATACACCATGGGAAAGAGCACTCTTACTATCGGCACCAACAAGAACGAAACCCTGATTCATCCTCAGGGACCACTCGACGCCGATAAACAACTCACCGGATTGTCAGACCAACAGCTGTCTGAGTTGCTGTACTCTGTTTTCGTCGCCGCCGACTCAACAATGGATGGACCACGTAGGGACTTTGGCAACTCCGCTCGAAGGTATACTTTGGGTAATGATACAGCAGGTTCTGCAGCCATGTTTGAACTTATGAGCCATACACTACAAGACCTTCCAGCTGGATACTACAAGTTCTTCGAAATCGACACCATGATTGCTTCCGCAACCTCTGTCATCACCCAGCTTGCTGTAAACTTTCTCAAAGAATCTTTCATGATCGAATCCCGTGGGATAGCTCCTGCTGAAGGCACATACACCCAAGAGAGACTTCGATTCCGACCGCTCTCTCTGTGGATCATGGTGGTTAGCCTGATGGTGCTAAGCCTACTCGCACTGAGCATTATCTTCACACTTACCCCCTCCGTCTCTCAGGATCCTAGTTTGCTCGCTTCGAATGCTGCTATTCTTGCTCGGAGTCCGTCTATCGATGCCATCTTAGCCCCTCTCGGAGAATGTAGAACCAGCCAGATATCATACGAGCTATCTGGACATAGGTTCTCTACAGACTTTGATGGCTCGAAATTCCAAATCCAAGCCCGCGAGATACTTCTAGCTGATGAGAGTTTCATACGCAAGCCGAAACGCAAACAGCGCAGCTGGATTCCCATGACGGCGCGGGTGTATTTTGTGATAGCTACCTTCACGCTGCCACTAGTCACTATCATCGCACTTGAAGTCACGTATCATCGATCCATCAAAAACAATGGATTTACAGTTCAGGATACATTTTGGGCGCTTTATGGAACACAATACAGCTCAGCCCTTATTGTGTTGGCCATCGCTAGTATTTTCAACAGCCTTGACTTTACCATCACCACATTTTCAATCTTCAGTTTCATGAGGGCACGGGCTATACCATCATCCCAAGGACTTACGAACAATCCGATGCGAGAATTAACCCCTGTTGCACTATATAAGGCTCTCAGACGAGGTCATTTGGGGCTATCTTCTTCCATCCTGGCGGCATTGATAGGCAGCGTTCTATCAATTGTTGTCTCCGATTTATGGGCTGAAAAGCTGGTGACCACGAATACCGGCTTCAATACCCAGCTCAAAACTACTTGGAACCTGGACTGGACTGACAGTGCTGTTAACGATGGTGGTGCAGCGACGCTTCTGAACGATGTGCGGCTGAACAAGACAGAAAGCCCAGACTCAGCGACATGGAATGATCTGGTGTTTCCATCGTTCGACACCATAGTCTCACCCGGTGATGGGCACGAAATTCTGAGGTTAGGGGGCTTGAATCAGAAGTTCAACTTCAGTATTGAGGTGCCCTCATTGCGACCAAGACTCTTTTGTCACCCAGCTACTGTTAGAGATAGGGGGGTGTCCACTACTGGAGGTGCAGTGTCGACAACGATAACTGCCATTGACTCTCTTCCAGAGTACTGTCGGGTAGGAGACGAAAGTCAAGTCAGAAATGTGTCATTCGAAGCCACAGGAGATAAAACAGATGGGCTGGTGGGCTTGTTCTTCGACCTCGACATTGGAGTTCTTGTTCGTAAACAATGCTCCCCCTGCAAAACGAGCCCAGACTCGGCTCGTCCAGAGAATCCGATGGGCTGCCCATCGATAGGGGTATTCTTCGCAGAACGCCCGTTTGTGTGTGCGCAGGTTGTGCAGCAGGTTCAAGTTGGGATGAAATTCACATCCCCCATCGGGCCAAATGGCGAAATCATCTTTCAAAGAAGTAGCCTCACCTCTACACCGACTCCTATCGAGTCAACTACGAAGAATCTGACCCGCGATGACTCCGGGCTAGACCTCTTCCCCTATCGAATTCAACCTCACTTCGATAAAAATCTCACAAGCTCGATATCAGATGACCCGGCCGATCCATTCTTCAGATACATACTTTCTGGAACCACAGGGGTCAGCAGGGACGATTTGACCAAGAATGCCGATCAACTGATCGATGTCGTAAACGGCCTCTACGCCAAATTCATGGTGCAGGTCATGGATTCGAGCATCTTCCGAACGCCTGTCGTCGCTTCGACTCAGACGAAGGAGCAAAACGAGAAACAAAGTGTAAACGGCACAATCTCAAGAGAAGAATCTCGCCTCATAATGAACTATACGCCCAAGCTCATTCTTCAGATCTTGCTTGGTGCCATGATGATTTTTGGACTGACGGCCTACGTTCTGGTTGACCTCAAGGGCACTCTTCCTCGAAGCCCTCATTCAATAGCAAGCAGTATGGCTTTATTCGCGGGAAGCGAACTGTGTGCGAATCACATCCCAGAAAATGCTGAGTGGATGAACAAGCAGCAACTTGACCGAGTATTCCAGGGATACACATTCGCCTTGGGGTGGTGGAGTCGCAGTGTGACCGAGGCAGATTCTCGCAGCATTGATAGCTTATTGGATGCTCCAGTTGTGGATGAGAGGTTCGGGATTGACGTTGGAACGCCAGAGAGGTTGGGTTTTGAAGCTAAGGGAAACAGAGATGGCAGACTATGGGGCAAACGGGGTGCGCTGTAGTCGATACTTCTCACTAAAAGTACATACAATCGACTTGGTGGCCGCTACTCGAAATCTAGAAACCGCGGCATCCTAGCCTTCCCATACAAAATCCTGCTCAACACCAGGAATCAATGGCCGAAGAGCCATACCGTAGTCGCCAGCGTTGGGTGTCCTCAGAAGAGTGTGAATGTGAAACTTTGCGGGCTCCTTGTTTGTCAGGAAGACTCCTGAGTGGTGATCGAACTCCACGAGTATAACTGGGCTCTGGATGCGGTAGTAAAAGGGATCTTGATCACCAAAGCCGCCAATCCAACTAAAGTACGTCTCCTGGAAGAAAGACTTGATGTGGTTGACACGGATCTCCCTGGACTTCTGAGGAAGATAGATAAGATACTGCTCCAGGATACCAAGAACCAGCTGCTGCTGCTCGGCTGTCATGTCCGACACCAAAATACCCTCATACGGCACAATTCGGTTGTCTCGGTAGGCGCCGCAGAGATGTCGCTGGTCGTCGTGATTCCACCGTCCTTTCGGCATTGCGGGGTCTTTGAGGAGTTTGTACGTCTGCGCCTTTTGCTGCAAATTTGCTGGGAGCGACTGCATAAGCTGCAAGCCTAGCCGTTCCTCGGTCTCAAGAATACGAGTGCCCTTGTACGGGCCATCATCAATCAGGTTCGGCTCTGCCCCAGTGAACCACGGCGATGCAACAATCTGGCCCTGGTACAGAAAAATGTTCAGGCACAGGTGGTGGCCGTAAAATGAGAAGCCCCATGGCCTCGTTGCCGAAGGCAGTCCGAAGAGGACAAAGTTGTAAGAGAACTCGTTGCAAATGGTGGGTGTCTGCACCAATTCGCCCAAAAAGCCATTCACGCGCATGGCACCGAGCGCCTTCGCATACCCCTCAGGCGAGAGGGTTGTCTCGAGGACTTTCAGGATGCTGTCGCGGATTTGCGGATTTAACTCATCCAGCCGTAAACCCTTGTCGCTGAGGAGAAACTCGGGGTTCGACCATGATCGCCATTCCGGGGAATCGACATGGTATGAGAGGGTTGTCTTCTGCTTGTCATCTAGCTGTGACAGAACTGCGTTTGTAGCATCGACAATTTGTTGAATCGGCACGCCCTCGTCGGCGATTTTGAATAAGTCCCGTTTGACCGTGCCTAAATCCGTGTCAATTATGGTTTCTTGGCGGGAAAGTTAGTGGTTTTGGGTGTCACGGCAGATCTCACCATCTGTTGTGATGCCGGTGTATGGCTCCTTGAAGAGGCTACGCCAGTGAAGGTAAAGGGCATGTAGCCACGGCGGGTTGCCGCTCTCCTTGAACACCTTGGCATATTCGTGAGCATCCTGGTTGCGCATCGTCGTGAAGCGAGGAATGCTGATGTCTGGAAGGTGCTGACGGTACTCGGCGCCATGAGGCGCCTGTTCCTGTGCTCCAGACATATTGTGCTGGTGTTCTCCCGCGAACGGTAGCTGTGAATCTCGCGGTGAAATCGTTGCAGCAATGGCTGAGAGTCTTCTGGCAGCTTGAGAGCTTCTCTGGTCGGCGTTCCTCATGCAAAGTCTCTGGTTGTATGTGTTGTCAAAGCTGGACTGCTTACACGCGACTGCGTGACAGGGAAAGCAAGTAATAATAGCTCCGAGACCGACAACGGATAGCTCTTGTCACAAGACGTCCACTCTGATCAGACAATTTCTAAACAAACCGTCATCAAGTACCGGCGAATCCACAAAGCCACGACGTCGGCGATGGTCGGCGCATGTGCCGCCGACAGCGACCCCTCATTTCTCGGCCCCTCCATCCCACATCGCCATCATCCCTCATCCTCGCAATTCCCCCACAATTCCCCCAGCTGCGCCTTTGAGTTGCCCGGCTTTTCCGCAGGCGTCAATGTGTCAGCAGGCCATTGACCAATCACGGTGAATGGACTTACGATTAGCACGACGCGGCGTCAAGATCTGGGCGCGAACTCTCGAACTTCCCGGACCTCCGAGCCGACCACCCCCAACCATCGGCAATTGTGCGGGGGAGAGCCCCAGCAGGGGTAGCGGGCTTGCTCCAGTCGGAATTCACGATGCGGGAACGGCCCTTACTTCTACTCTCCTGCTGGTGAATATCATCCGAACTGCCACTCCAAGTCTGACTTGAGCTTCGAATCTTACGATACCACTGCACACCTGAGTCTGAGGAACGCACCAGACAACACATACATCATGGCTTCACAAACGCAAACGCCCTTTACCCGTAAGTTGTGCATCTCGCACGAATGGATGTTAACATTAGAGCCCCGCCGCTGACAAACTCAAGGATTCGTGCGGTTTGTCCCTCGCTCTGATGCCAACAAGATCCTCATTGGTGAGCCGGAATCAGAGTCTGTTGATGTTGGTCTCGCTGTGCGCAAAGGCGAGGAAGTGAAGGTTGTGGTGTGGTCCGGATCCAGCGTTCTCAAGCCGGGTTCCAAGACCGAGGAGCGGGCCGTCATTGACCGCGTCCTCTCACCCGTCTCTGCCGAGGAGGTCGGAACGATCCGATGCATCGGCTTGAACGTGAGCAGCCAATGATGTTTCTCTATTACTTTGTACAGAGTCATGAAGCTAACCACAAACAGTATGTTCAACACGCAAAGGAGACTGGTCTGGCACTGCCTGAGGTCCCGACTGTGTTCCTGTAAGATCGCCCGGGGTGGTGTAAATCGCTGTGGAATCAGGGCTGACTTAATGTACAGGAAGCCAAGCACTGCACTAGGAGACCCATGGCCCGCGCCTACGGTGCTTCCTTTGCTTACCCAGGCCGATGACTGCGGCGACTATGAGTCTGAGCTTGCCGTGGTGTTGGGTAAGACGGCTAAGAACGTCTCCGAAGCCAACGCTCTGGACTATGTCCTGGGTTACACTGCCTGCAACGACGTCTCTTCCCGGACGTACCAACTGAACCAGTCGCAATGGTGCTTCGCTAAGGGATTCGATGGATCCTGCCCATTGGGTGAGTTGTCCCATTGTATGGGTGAAGACGGGATCATGACACTAACAAGATGTTTCCCAAAAGGCCCTACCTTGGTTTCCAAGGATCTCATTCCCGACCCCACCAAGTTGAAGATGCGTGGCTTGAAGAACGGCGAAGTTCTCCAGGACTCACCCATTGAGTAAGTTCACTTGCTCTCGTGGCCTATCATCAATACTGACTGGCTTTGCAGCGACCTCATTTTCAGCATCCCGAAGCTCATCAGCTTCCTTTCTCAAAGCACAACCCTGCCCGCTGGAACAGTAATCATTACTGGAACCCCGGCTGGAGTTGGCCTGGGTCGGACACCAAAGGTCACTCTGAAGGACGCCGACGAGTTCCACGTTGAGATTCTTCCCCATATCGGCACGTTGGTCAATACCTTCCAAAATGAGGGTGTCACCGCGGTTGGACAGTAGATGTGAGGATGAAAAAAATGAGGATGGAATGGATCGAGATGCACTAGGATATGGCGAGATCACTGAGTATACAGGATACAAGTGATAAGCTGCTTCAATGGATTAGATCAAATGATATATGAGTTCCCAAGATGACTGCCTTGCAAGATTTGAAGTTCCTACCGTGAATCGCACTTCCCGCCCCTGAATCCCGGATGACTATGTGCGTTGCTTGTTCCCATCTCACGCCACGACAATTCATATTTCTGTGGGAATGGATGGCATTTCCCTCCCCTACCTTAGCAAAAGTCGCTTCATCTGGTACTTGCTCATTTTAAACACTTCCGTAGATTTTACGATTGACTCTTGATACCTGGATGCACAGCATCACTCACGAGGAACATTCGCTGCGATTAAGGCTTGATCAAGGTAAGGTAGTGGGTGTCAAAACTTCATATTTCGCAGTTGATGATTTTATTTATTTAACTCATTCCATCTTCATCGTGATGGACTAGCTAGCTCTCGAGCAGCTGAGGAACCTTCTCAAGGAGGTGCTCAACAATAGCATCCGGACCCCTCTCCACCTGCAGGCCATGAGGAATCGCGTGGGTCTTGATGTTCGGGACAATTGACCTCGCGGTTGCCTGGATCTGCTCTGCCTCCTCCGCTGTCCACATTGATGCGCAGAACTGCGCAGATTGATTAGTTGAAGAATCTTCATTTGGCTATGGTCACTCATACCAAGACGTCTGGCTTGTGCTCCTTCACCTTACCCTCGACCTCGGCGATGGCTGTCGATATTATCAGCCTACAGACTTTGCATTGTGGATGGGTTATTTGACTTACTCTCGCAGTTGGCGACATAATCGATTGTGTACTGGTCCTTGAGCGCCTCAGTCATGCGGCCGATAAGTCTCTTCGCCCGCTCAGGTGCGGTGTTGACCGTAACAAGCTTGAAGGGACCCTTGGGCGCCATGGTGCGGGGTTGTTGTGAGAATGAGGGGTGATGGCACAAGGCAAGTGGTGACGTTGAAGATTGTGATGGTTGATCGCAATAGCTTGCTGTGAGATAATTGAGTAAGGAGAATGGTTCTGGCTACTTCCGGATAGAATGAGCCGCGTAAGTACGTGCGTGATGTTGGTCCACGATGATGTGCCGCACCTCTATCCCGATGGCCGCTGACAACTCCCATATATCCGGCAGATAGCGGCTTGAGCTCCGCCGAAGTCGCACCCGAACGTCAACCCACAAAATAGTCTGGAAGCTGACTGTTCCATCGCTTCTGCGCCAGAATTGGAGACAGTTTGGTTGTTATGCCGGCTTTGCCGATTTCCCCTCAATCTGCCCAGTTCCACCCATCCAAATCCATTTTCGGTTATCCTCCCATGACCTTCACCTTCATCGTCGAATTGGCGCTATTTGGGGCTCGATTTCCCTCGGATAACCCGTGATATCTCGGATATCCCGAATTGTCCGTCCACCTGTGACCACCGCCTTCAGCCACTGGCGTCCACCTAATTACTAGCAATTAGTTGTTCCCCGTGGGACGCATCCCGTGCTTCCGGCTTGTGTGGGGGATCTCCGGGGGTTGCATTAGGGACTTGCCGGCGCCCCTATGTCTTTGAAAGTAAAGAACATGGGTTGAACTGCTGAACCCAGCTGCAACCACCTCTTGAAGATTTGAGGATTTGAGGGTAAGGGATTCCTGCCATCGCGACTTGTTTTCCAGATCTTAGTCCAGCATCTTTAACCGACCTGCAGCTCATCGCCAAGCAATCTTAAAATGTTCCGCTGGCTCAACTCTTGGTTTTCACCCAGGGCAAACGCATCTTCACCTAACAGCAACGGAAACATGGCGGTGAGTACTCATTTCATGGAGACGGGTTTTCCGCGTCAATGCTGATGATGAACATGAAGGTCACAGCGCACATCAGATCACCAGTCCAACTGGAAATCATTGTTGTCGGCGCCGGACTGAGTGGATTGGCCACCGCAGTAGCAGCCGCTTTGTCGGGACACAAGGTCACCGTCTTTGAGTCCGCGAAGGAGCTCCTTGAGGTGAGTCCTATCTCGAAATTTGAGGGCGGCGAATGAAGTTATTGACGTTGTTCATCAGGTCGGTGCGGGCCTACAAGTAACGCCCAACTCCACACGCATTCTCCAGAAATGGGGCCTGCCGGATAGACTGTGGAAATCGGCATCTGAGCCGACGGATTTGGTGGTGCATCGCTACTCCGGAAAGGTCCTCGCGTTGGAGGAGAACTTCAACAAGAACATTCGCGCAAAGTATCAGGCACCATTCATCGACTTGCACCGCGTCGACCTCCAACTTTCACTCTATGAGCGCGCCAAGGAACTCGGCGTCACATTCAACCTCGGCGAGAAGGTCGAGAACATCGACTTCGACATTCCCGAGCTCACGACGCAGTCTGGAATCAAGGCCAAGGCAGATCTCATCGTCGCTGCCGATGGACTTTGGTCGCGATCGCGCGCGTGCTACCTGAAGAAGGACGACCCTCCCCTGGCAACGGGTGACCTCGCCTACCGTGTGGTTCTCAATCTCGATGAGGTAACGGATCCGGAGCTGAGAGAGTGGATTCAGAAGCCTCAGGTCCACTTCTGGGTCGGTCCCGGTGCTCACTGTGTTGGGTACTCGATGAGAGCGGAGAAGATGTACAACCTGGTGTTGCTTACGCCCGATGATCTTCCCAAGGGTGTGAGCCGTCAGGCAGGATCAATCGAAGAGATGCAGAGCCGGTTCGATGAGTGGGATCCGATATTGAAGAAGTTCCTCAGCTCGGTTGACAGTGTTGAGAAGTGGAAGCTGATGCACAGTAAGTTTTCGTGTTCAGGCCCATCATCGTATGAGCTAACGTGTTTCCAGGGGAGGAAATGACTTCTTGGGTCAATGAGAAGTCGAACTTTGTGTTTGTGTGAGTACCCTTTTTGAACCTGAGATATCGACCCTCACTAACGTTTGCCAAGCGGTGATGCATGCCACCCCATGCTACCCTACCTTGCACAGGGTGCCAACTCAGCTGTGGAGGATGGAGCTGTCCTTGGGCTGCTCCTTGGTCACATCAAGTCTAAATCGCAACTACCTGCAGCATTAAAGTCATACGAGAAGTTGCGCAAGGCTCGTGGCGAATCCATCGTCAGAGAAACGTTCAAGCAGGTGAGTTTCTCTTATCTCTTATTATATCTCAGGGTATCCATCGTCCGACGTTTGCTGACATTCCCTAGCGCCACGATTTCCACATGAATGACGGCCCTGAGCAAGAGGCCAGAGATCAAATTTTTCTGTCACAACTTGGCAAGGAGCTGAAGGGTGCATTCCCCAGTAGGTGGACGTGCCCTGAAGTGCAGCCCTGGCTGTACGGATACGACGCGTACAAGGAGGTTGAGGAAGCGATGAAGAGCGATCCCTTTGACAAGCCCCACGCCAACTTGTGAGCAACCAAGCTTTCAATCGGGTCAGGGAATCTGGGCATTTCGGCGTACTGGTCATAATATTACGGGCTTTGGAGCATGCCTCGGTAATCGGCATTTCGTGTATACCTAACTCTATGATTCCTCAGCGATAGCATACAGTCCTTTACCTCTATGTTTGCCCTGCCATGCCCTGCCAATGAGTTGGGAATCACTGCAAGATTAGCGCTGATCGCTTCGGCAAGACCCGCCATGACCACTGACATCACCCAAACTAAGCCCCGTAGCCCCTGTAGGCCCCCCTGGAGGAGCTCTGCCACAGTGCCAAATTTTTGACATGATGTTTGCAAATTGACATGCCCTAACATTTTGACACATGGAAATTTCAACACACCTGATCTCACCAGGGCACATGGTGAGAGAAATTCTGCGTGCAGACAGTGCGGCTTCAGCTTGGCAATAAAGACATAAATATCATTCATGTTTGAATATCTAGTTATTCTATGGGAAGGATATTACTATTCAGACAAGATAAGCATGGATCATTTAAGGTATCAAAGACCTCTCATGAAGCCACGCTTTCTAATGGGCGGCTTCTGCCCTTCAGCCTTTTTGTACTCCTTCTCCCCATTCTCGGTCTCAACCACATATCGATCCTTCTCCTTTTCCCCCTTCCTCTTATCATGCTCCGTCTTCCATCGCATGAAGTAGCAACAAAATGGGAAGAACAGAGTGTTGACTGCTGTCCAGGCGAACAGAACGCCAAAGTTTAATCCAATCCTGGAGTGCAAGTCGAAGAGCAACTGGCGGCTGCCCTCAACAACCTGGTGAAGTGGCCAAGCGTAGCCCCAGTGGTAGAATCCCGGGGCTAGATCGATGGCATAGAAGGATGTCGAAACGTTCGATATGACCCAGAAGATAAGCCACAGAGCCGTCCATGGCTGCCCAATTATCATTGCAACGTTTTCACAGGCGAGGCCCAAGGCGGACATGCCAACGAAATTGAGCATCCAATAGACTGGGAAGGTGCCGCGGCCATAAGCTGTAGCACCAAATGGTGGGGCTGGTTCCGTTGGTGAAGCTGGAGGGGCGCTGAAGGGTATTTGGAAGGCGAGAGATATCAAGCTGTAGCTAAGAGAGATGATGAAGTAGGCGACGATTGTGGCTAGCCATCTCCAAATGATGAGCTGCCAGAAGTGTAAGGGTGGATGACCTTGCGGTTGGATGTATTTCTACGCAGATTAGATCAGCAGCTGCACATATCGAACGCGAGGATTCTGATAACTTACTGAGTGAATTGGCAAGAAGAAAGAGAAAGAGAAAAATGCCATAATGATCAAGTAGATGAGGCCAATGCTCACTGCAGGCGTAGCAGTAGCAGGCTGGAAGGGGCGTAGATCAATCATGAGCGGCGCGATGCCAGGGTTAACAGCAGAAGAAGCTCTGGCTAGGTTGTCTCGACTCAAGGACGCGTTAGACATGACAGTCTGACCCCATTGCTTTCCGAATTGTTGCGTAAATTGCTCTGTGAACTGAGTGATATAAGGTGAAATGTTGCTCTGGTACGTCGTCGAATCGCGCGCGCTTTGTATAATTATCTGCACAGAGCCTGCAGGATCGTAATCTGCATCACCAGTCGCAACAGCTTCTTGGAGAGCCGCTGTGGCATTGGGATGAATAATCACAGCCACCCAACTATCCCAGTCGTACACGGCCATTCTCACTGCTGTGGGATCGTTGTTGAAGTGCGAAGGCGGTAGGAATGTCCAACCCAGTGATGGGCCTGGCTTGTCCAGTGACTTCTGTGCGGTCTGTACGACTGCCGGCCCAACAATTGGTTGCACAGATTCGTACGGAGCAACTTGTCCATCAAAGTCGACGACATGGACAATGATTGATCTAAGGTTGTCCTCGGTACGGAAGAGAACAGCCCAGTACATTGACAAGACCGCGAGGATGAAGAGAAAGAGGATGGCGATCGTCTGAATCCATAACCGAATAACGTGGGCGCGAACCTTTTTCATTGATGGGTCCCAGAATCCAACAGAGTGGTGAGGTTTCTGGTGACGACGGTGGACGCCGTTTTCCTCATTGTCTTGGCCGTCATTCTTCGAGTGGTCGACTTCGGTGCGGGCCGGTGAGGTTGGCGACGGAGACCTAGGCATTGTTCCTGGGTTGTGCGGATTGACTCCCTTTCTGCAGAGCGAGAAGGATTTCCCCTGAATGACGGTCAGATGGCTGCAGTGGCTTGAAACACACTCAATCAAGAAATACCGAAACGACCGCTGCAATACGCCTCTGCCGCTGTCAGTGTCTTGGCTTTATGTACATCCCATCGAGTTTGACAATTCCACATCAAATCCTCCAGCGTCCAAGTCGATGATGCGTGGTGGAAATAATTCAATGAGATGGCTAAGTATCTCTTAACAATTTTGTCTTCTTTGGTAGGTCGTCTAGCTATTCTATTGGTTGAAAGCGTATCTGTCGTGTTGAGGTACATTGAGCTATAGACTTAGCCCCGAGATGACATCAGAGCTCATGGGGTTGCGCTAGAAAGAACACTACCCCTGTCCAAGGTAAGCTTGTAATATGTGTAAGTAAGCAGGCGTCTCGGCCTTCGTTCTTTTTTATTTAGCGTCGGCTCTCTTCTTTGAACCGAGAGTCTAGCACTCTCGATCTTTTAGCTTGAGCATTATTGTACATCTCTCGATTCGGTTACGGAACCTCGATCCCGGCCGTGGGTGAAAGCCTGAAGCAATGTCAGGACCAATCAAGGCAGCCTGTTGCGGTAGAATATGCTGACACACGTCCCAAGACCCCACGTCAACAGAGAAAACAAGTGGTATCACGACGTTCTGACTTCATAGTAAGTACCTGTCAGGGCTAACCCTATATTTGGGATAAGGTAGTAAGCTAAGAGAGAGATATGTTTCTGTTATGCACCAGTAACTTTCGAAGCTATCAGACCAGCGCATCTAAAGTGGCTTGACTCTTTTCCATCGTAATCTTCCAGACCTTCGCAAATCGTGAAGAGTTCAACTCAGCTGTGACCTTTCCCAATTTCCCCGTCCCTTCTAAACGGCTTTCCGCTGGAGGACCAGCAACGATAAATGATGAGGATTGTGGGACAGTTGGAGTTTCGCCAGCGGCCACGTCCACCAGAAGACACGCATTATGCGGGCCGGGGGCCTTGAACTTGAAGAATAAACAAAAGCCGTTTTCAGTTTCTGCGTTTTGGACATGCAGGTAAGGAACCTCCTCTTTGCCGCTAGTCTCAACGTCGTAAGAGAGGATGATGGAGTGGCTCCATAGGCCACTGCTAGCCCATCGATCCGCCGGGTATGTCTTGATATTGTCATACCCATGGTTCTGTTCTTGTGGCAACTCCACGACAATGTGCTGCGCATCGGAATCTTTACCCCACAGCGATTCCATGTCTTCCGGATCTTCGGCCCTGATGAGGATAGTCTCAAGCTTTGCCTGCTTAACCCAATCATCCGGAACTGAGACAAAGCCCAACTTATGACTACACCTGTAGAATGGCTCAAGATCGCCCGTTCTCTCCAGATAGAGACCTATCTGACGACCTGCTTTGTTACAGTTGAGTATCGCTATCGTGCTTGTTGGAGAGAAAGTGAATGAGATTCCTGCAGCGGAACCAATTTGCTCATTGTTATCTCCGGGGATGAATGAGAAGCCATATTTCGAGCTGCTCGGGTCCAGTATCGGCATCTCGATCTGGATGCCTCTATTTTTGAACGAATACGGTGCCACGCGATGGTCGGCATCAATCCTGGTGATGCCGCTAGATTGATTAAAACAAGAGGGGGACTTGGCGAGGAACCCAGTGTTCCGGGAAGGTCTGTCTGAGTGTCCAGGCAGTAACCAGGCAAATATCGACTGGTCATCCGTTCGCCTCATGATCTCTTCTTGAAGTCGGATGAATGCCATTTCACCCTCGCCGTATAGTAGGGGCATGCTGACCCCGAATAATCCAAGCAAACAATACGCTTGATCTTCGACTCTGGTCGTCTTTCTCTTTGCAGCCCAGGACATTCTCTGGGCGATGCTATATCGACCTAAGATTCCGTACTCGAAAAACTTGTGGTCGATGCCAGTAATCTTTCCCAGAGGTTCTCGCATCTGATCTCGTGTACCGATTTCGTACCAATCATCTGAGTAGAATATGACAGTTGAAGGTGCGATGAGCTCTTGAAGCGTCCAGCCACGCGTGAACCACCGACTATTCATGAAGCTCTTAGAGTAGCCCCCGAGAACGTTAACATCGTCCTGGGTGACGTCCTCAAGGTACGCATAACAGACACGAGAGTTCTGGTACCAGGCCCACATGGAATTAATGGCCTCCGTCAACTCAGATGAGCTTGTCTTGTCGATACAGCAGGTATCGATCCACTGCGAAGTCAGTTAATGGGAACCTTTCGGTTATCTTGAGAGCCCAGTATTAATGACACCAGGCTGGAAGGATCAACTTACGATGTAGTCGAAGCCATCCGACAATGCCTGATTACAAGCTCCGATGAGTTTCTTGTAGCCTTTCAGACTAGACGCATTTCCGGCGAGCAGCTCCTGAAGTGTGATTTCCTCTGAACCCCAAGTGTGGGATAAGATAGCATATGGAATGCGGGAGTGGGTGAAAACCCGTAGTTCCCTCGTTCGTGTGTTCAGGAGCCGCATCGTACCTGTAAGAATTGATTCCAAGCCAATAGAAGCCTATGGAGCACATAAACTCCAGGCTTTCTCAAGATGAACAGGACTGGTCAGACTGAATGCGGGGGTATATGCAACTAAATGAAGAACCAGATGGGTCTGCTTAATTAGGACGATGGAATCTCACCTGCATAATCTATCACGTGTGGCTACTGCGATAAGTAGGCTAGCTACATGCACTTATGCACACGTTCGATTTCGTGGTATCATCATGAGACACAACAACGGTCCACTTGAGAAGCGCGAGTTTGTGCTGGATGGGTCGACTTTGGATTGAACCCTCAGCCGCTAAACTACCTTGGACTAATTACCCTATGACATGTAGCGGAATGAAGGATGCCTGTAACCAAGTTGACTCTGTTCAGCTTCTGTACGTCCATCCAGGCGGTGATCTCTCTTTCCAGCAGCTCTTGCTTTGTTCTCATACAAGCAATAGAATATACCGAAAACCGCCAGTAAAACTGTTAAGCTTTGTCCGACAAGATTGATAGTGTGTCCAGTGAAGTACTTCGGAGCGTCTTTAAACGTGTAGGTCCACCTATTGTAATCATCAGTAAAAGTGCAGGCATGCGCAGACGAAAGTCAAAGACTTGGGTGTCAAAGCTATCTAAAACGTTTTAAAAGACATCTACTTACGTCGCAACAATTCCACCCATGGTGCCAATGGAAACTACGTAGGCGCTGGTGACTGCGCGTACGGAAGGGCCTGCCGAGTCTATTGTCGAATGCGTCAGTTTGCTTCACTTTCGTGGGTTGGCCGAAGATCATTGGCAAATATCCGTCTGCAGTAGACTTACTGTTCATCGCCCAACTCACTGTAATGATATTAGCGAAAGAATCAGATTGCAAGAATGGTGCTGACTCACAAAAACCTGGACCACCTGGAAAAGCACCTGCTGTGACAAAGAATACCTGGTATCATTAGTAGATGTACGCAGGAAACAGACAGACGAAAGGACAGAGAGCTCTTACGCCCATATATCTGATGTTAGCCTCGGTCGCAAACCTCAAAATGGCGAAACCGATAACGGCAATCATTGAAAACACGGCAAGGTAGATACCGCGTTGACGTGTTCGATCACTGAACCACGCGATGATGATGGCGGTGATAGCAGCCACAACGTAAGGCGGTACAGAGTACAACTGCGCTCGCGTCGCTGTCCAGCCCAAGTCGGCAAGAATGGTCGGCATGAAGACCGAAATTCCCTGAACGGTGATGTTGATCAGGAAAAAGCCGAAGGCGCACGTGTAGTTGTGGATGCAGAACACAGCTCGCTTCACGTCGGAAAGAGTGACTTTTTGATCAACATCGGCCTTATGCTGGCGCTGCAGACGCTCTGCCGCAATCGCTCGTTGTCTTTCGTCGAGGAAGTAAGCGGTAGCGGGATTCGTAGGCATCCAGAGAGGTGCAAAACCTCCGAAGAGCATTGTGACGAATCCCTCGAAGAAGAATATGTTCCTCCATGTGTGGATCGGTGCGCTGTCGAACCCCCATTCCGGAATGCGAGAGAGGCCAGTGGCGAGCAGACCGCCGAATGCGCCAGCCAATGATGCTGCTGAAATGAAGATACCTAGCCGGAACAAGAGCTCTTCTCTCTTGTAGAAGCTGCTTAGAAAGAAGGAGAATCCTGGCATGGCACCACCTTCAAAGATACCCAGGAAGGCGCGGGCAACGATAAGACCCTCATAAGAGCGTACGAAAGCCGTGCAAAGCGAGACTAGACCGAAGCCAACGACTAGGAATGGCAGGTAGAATCGTGGGCCTACGCGTTTGAGGATGATGTTGCTCGGTACTTCGACGAGAAGGTAGATGATGTAGAAGATCGACAGCGCCCAGTTGAATCGGTATCCTTCAAGGTTGATATCTTTGGCCATGCCCTGGATCCTGGCATTTCCAATATTCGCTCGATCCAAAAACTACCCCGAAGATCGGTCAGTCAATGGCAATGCAACAGGCGGTTGATATTCGAGGGAAGAAAGAAATCACATACGCAGAGAAGATATAAGGTTGTCACCAATGGGACAGTGTGCCAGTCGAGCTTACGCTTGATAACCTGTTCCTCCTCTTCCGTCCACTCCAACTGTATGGGCTCGTCCGCATACTGGATAGACTCGGACTTGACGTCGACGGTCGTCGGCTCGTTATACTCTGTTTTAGACATTGTCAATTGTCAAGACTAAGGCCCGTCACGAACATTGGCAGATGTTCTAGCATCTGTGAACAAGGTGGAGGGAGGGAAGCTTACGTTTCTTATCGAACTCGATTGGTATCTCGTCTATTGTGGAGAGCACCATCTTGACAGCTGGCCGAGACGATGCTCGGAATCCTTTGAACGCAGACCTTCCGAAAATACAACGTTGAGGGCTGGAGAATTTGTCTAGCAGCCGGTGGATGCGACGTTGAAAACGGCCAAGCCCATTTAGCGTAGCCTGAGTGAGGGGTCGAGGTCGTGGCCGGCCCCTATTATTATCTATCTAAGGCCACTAAAGAGCGGGAAGCAAGTTTGAATAGCTGGCACGGACAGTTTATCACCATCAGACTTTCTTCGGCAGATGTTTCTTGCATTAAAGCCCAGCCCTGTCCGGGGTGCCCTTCGTCCAATGACCCAGAACCAGGTGCCCATCAAGGATGGCACGTTCGGCCCAAGAATGCGGGGTACGGGAGGAAGAACACTTGGATTTCTTGGGATCTTGGTCCGCTTCATACCACAGTAGTTCGACTCAGATTGAGTCGCATTGAAGTGGGCGGCCGTGGAACTGTGGATGGGTATTTCGCCGGGGTTTGTGCTGAGTATGGTTCGGAGCCTGCTACGCCCACCCAGTGGGACCGCCTTCGCAACCTTGGGTCTAACTTCACTCGACCATCTGAATTTCGAGGCAAAAGGCCTTTCCCCACGTCGCAAGCCGGAAAGGAGATCTGGCTACCTCTTGCGAGTTGGTGTGTTCCCTGTTACAGTTCATGTTTTCACCGAATGACTGGGACAGCTGTTTCTCATCCGGACTCTTCGGAACCGAGTTGCTGACAATGGCTTTCGCTACTTTGATGTCAAGGCCGTAACAAGATGACAGAGCACAATGGTGGAGTTATGTCATTGAAGTATGCCGTGTAACTGCAGGCGCTGCTGTTAGGCCTGCAAGCTGAGGGCCAGAATCCTGAGAAGGGTGATTACGAGTACAACCTAGATCATGGTTGTCAGCATATCCACGCCGCACCCATACAGCTCCGATGCCACCTTCAACTCTAACTACCATAGCGAATCAGAACCAAAGGTCCCCATAATCACCAATGATTATCCGCAGGCGATGGGCACTATGGCGTTCATGTGCTCTTACACTTGTTTGTTGCCAAGGCGAACGAGAACCGCTCTGGATGGTGGAATGGGGTCGTCAGATGTTCTCGCACGGCCAGTAGTGCTCCGCGAGGGATGCTTCGAATGAAACACGCACCGAGAGAGTCGATCGTATCATCGGCTCCAGAATCGGATACAGGTACATGTCAAAATCAACTGCCATCACTCACATCTAAGCGTAAGTTCACAGAAGGGTCCTGAATATGGCCCATGAGTTCATGGTCGAATAAGGAATCATGCCATAATTCGCCTCGCTATGCTATGACATGTCTTTACTGCGAAATCGATTGTGCTAAGTCAGCTATACTGAGAGCTCCGCAGTTGCCGAGGTATCCATGTCTGCCAAGTTATAACTCACGGTTACAATTCATGTTCCAACGACGCCGTGCCATTTGGTCGAATCGCAAGGCTCTCACAAAGCCCGGAGAAACCCCCTTTTCCGTCTAGGTGGCTCGACTCCCGGTTGCTTGGGGATCTGCTTCTCGAAATCATATCTGTGCAAGTGAAAGTGTGGAAGTTTTGTCTCCTTGCGACGAATCTCCTTTTCATCTTTCCACCTCAAGATGTAACATGCGGGGACGAACAAGATCGTATTAACCGACACCCACGCAATCAAGACGCCAAAGTTGAGGCCAATGCGCGAGTGCAAGTCGAACAAAATCTGTCGGCTGCCTTCAATCACATGATGATAGGGCCATGCGTACGCCCACCGGTAAAATCCAGGCGCAATAGCGGGAGGCCAGAATCCGGTCAAAGTGTTCGTAAGAGTCCAAAATGTCAACCACAAACCGACCCATCGAGGGCCAATGATCATGGCCATGTTTTCACAGGCCATTCCAAGTGCTGCCATGCCGAAGAAGTTTAACAGCCAGAAAACGATGAACGAGGCTTTTCCGTAGGCGTTTGGATTTTTGGCAACCTCCACTGCGGAAGCTGGCGGATTGGATAAGGGAACTTGAAAGACAAGTGAGATCAGACAATAGACCAGCGACAAGAAGAAATAGGCTGCCATGAGTGATAGGTATCTGCGTATGACGTAGTGCCAGTAGTGCACGGGAGGATGACCCTCAGGCACGATGCATTTCTGCATGTCAGTATTGTTTGTTAGTTCTGTATCAAAACATCAGAAGCTCGGACTTACCATGTCGTCTGCGAGGTAGTAGGTGAAGCCAAGATGGGCAATAAGAAAGCTTAGCCCAAAGGTAACTGCCGGAATTGCCGCAGGCGGCCCAAACGGCCGGAGGTCTAGCATCAAAGGTGACACCCCGGGATTGACGGCACTCGCTGCCTGCCGCATAGTCTCCTTCGTCAGGGAGTCATTGGCCATTACCATGCCGCCCCATGTCTTGCCAAACGTTTCTGTGAAACTTGACGTGAAAGACGTGAGGCTCGGCAAGATGTAGCTATACGTCATGAATGAGTCCCGGCCAGACATGGTGATGATTTGGATTGCGCCTGTTGGATCATATGAAGAGTTTCCGATAGAGACTGCTTCTTGCAACAAAGCTGTTGCGTTTGGATTGATAATGATTGCTGACCACGCTTTAAAGTGATAGACCGCTTCGCGAACCTTCATTGGATCGAATCCGAACTCGTTTGCGTCGCGTATTTGATATCCGATTGATGGTACGGGACTCCATAGCGTCTCGTTCGCCAAGTTGGTGACCGTCGGACCTACTAGGGGCGCGATGTCGTTGTAGGGAGCAGATTTACCGTCAAAGTCAACAACAAAACAGACGAGAGAGGTGAGATTTTCTTCAATACGAAACACGATGCCCCAATAGAGGCAGAGAATGAGGAACATCGAGAAACAGATGATGAAAGCTGGAGATGGTGAGCTGTGGCAACCTTTCAGCCAATAGAGCTCGGATGAGACTTACTGTTTCTGCACCACATCATAGAAATATGCTTTCGTAACTAGGCAAGAGCAGGATCAATTTCATTGGGCTCTGGCAAGGTTTTCGAGGCTGAGCCTGTATTGAGCTGCACTTACTGTTGCCAACCCTGGGTCCCACCAGCTGACTGATTGCGATGGAAGGTTTTCATGCTCAGGTAAGCGACTTTTCATCCAATCTCCGACAAGGTCTGCCCTTTGAGTGTCGAGGCTATTCAGCACGCTGTTTGACTGGTCGTCTCGGGAGGCTTGCATTGCGGCGCCAGGTTCTCGGTGAACGGCATTGTCGACGTCAGTATCTATGTGCATTTCGGACGTTGCACAGTTATGGTGTTCTGCAAATGAGTAAACAAGTCTAACTGATCCTTCGAAACTTTGAAGTCAGTTGCTGGTCTGTATTTTTTGTAGTTTAGAGCCAAGTCACCTTCCGTCGCAAAACCTCCGGCATTGTCTTTGTTGTGGACTATGATTGACATAGTTACCCACAGTTATGTGACCTCACCAGCATAAATGGTGGAGATGAACAGCGGACATGTTAGTCCGGATGGATAATAATTCGTCATTTAAGTGTTCTAATACATGTGTCCCTTGAGTCAATGTGGGTTTTGCTCGGTCGGTCAGTATATGTAGTTTATACAGCGGGTCATTTGGGTGATCTTCTTCTCAGCTGGAGTCTAGGCACAGTTCAATCGATTCTCGATCAGGGGCCAACTCGCCCTCTTCACTAGCGTATCAATCTTGACAGTCTCTGCAGGCCATCGGACCTTTACAGCCGGACAGATCAGACGCTCCAGTTTAACATGCAGTAGTCACTGGTGATGCGGGCAGCATTCTCGGTTAATAACTTGGTCACTGAGCATTAGCTTGCCCTTCCCATATTTGTAAAGCGGGTTAATGATCAGTCTCGTTCCCCTGCGTTAAGGCGAGCATCTTGACGTCAGAAAGATGTCAACTAAGCGAAGTGGGGCAATGAGCCTCCAAGAAGCCTCCTCAATAACACTGGTCTTTTCAGTAATTCTCATAACGCGCCGGATAGGTTCGATTGTGGCAATTGATCGGAGGAGTTCTTCCGCGACTTTGCGTGTTATAGGGTTTTCATGTTTTGATATGTTGTAAGGCAGATTAACTCCATCATGGGCATTTCAACTTTGAAGTGGAGCACGCCAAGATGCTTATGAGGAATTGGTAATACATAAGGGCGCCCTCACACCACAACAGGTGAAGTATTATAAGAATGTGATAGTCTCCATTCCCAATGAGGAAAAATATGTCCATCGATACCATCATTTACCTAGCTCACTTGAAGCATTGGCTTCCGTCTTTCACAATCGCAACTTGCGCGGTCGGCAGAATGGGCCAGGTTGTTTCTCACCTGACTTGAGTAGACTTCAGTGTTGTAAAAGTGCATTTCCCATCAAAGAGATTTCTCCATATACTGACGTCAGCTTCGTAAGTAAGCAGGTACTCTGTGTCACTATGCTCTGTGTTTCGACCTTTGGATGACTGTTCCGTGGATTAAAGGGGTCATAACTCTGGTCATTCTATGTCGAGAACGAATGGAGAAGATAAATTCACTATGATAATGGATTTGTGCGGTCTAAATGAAAAACTCTCCGGTCATCAAGATCAACTTCCCCTAGTCTTACAAAGCAACAATGGTAACATTACATAACAAGGGGCGGCTAGAACCCAAGGAAGATCTTTCGCCAATTGATCTTCTTCTTGCCATTCTCAGGAGCCGTCGATCCATAACCCTCCTCTTGCACATCATGCTGCCTAACAATGGAAAGAAAGACGTCGTTGAGCGTGGTGGGACTGACACTGTGATGCTCGATGCCCAAAACATCCTTGTTCTCCTCTAACATCACGATAAGTCGACCAATTGCACTTAACTGGCAGTCCTCCCCACCCTGCATATCTCGTCTGGTCTGGTGGCTCAGCTGAGATCTTTGCAGCACGTCTGATGCCGCGACTGAAAACCGCAATTGGCCGTGAAATGTTTCAGACTCCACTTGGGCAGAGGGAAATTGCCGTAGAATCCAGTCTCGCAT